GTTAAAATATCACATTATTTTTTCAGATATCGCCTAGTGTCCACAGACTTGGTATAGAAAGGTTGATGTCTCTAAAGTAGTGTGTAGTCAGTGATGGACTTACACCCCATGGGCCATTATTTTCTGGGGGGGGGGGGCGCAAAGCCGAGTGTCGCAGTGTCAGCAGGGGCCATTTTTAATGATTATTTTCATGTTCCATTTTCATTTCATTTCAATTGTTTTTTTGATAAGTGTATGGGCCTAGGTGTGATCTAGAATGTTCCCAACCAGTGCTTCCAGAATAGACTCCAGTCTCAAACTAGCCCTGTGCTGTGTGAGCTGATCCAGAAGTAATGTATTATAGGCATCAAATCATTTTTATATTCCACAGATGTGAGCTCATTGAAGACAGTTATTTTTTACAAGATGAAAGCTTAACTAATTTCTGCCTGGTGACTTAGATAGATTCTTGAATTTCCCTTAATCTCCCATAATAAAAATAATGCTATAAGTGTGGCTGGTTGGAGAGGAATTCTATTTTCTCCTTAAAGAGGGTATCGATCTTGGTGTGGGTGTGGCCAATTGGAGAGGAATTCTGTTTTCTCCTTAAACAGGGTGTCGCCCTTGGTGTGGGTGTGGCCAATTGGAGAGGAGTTCCGTTTTCTCCTTAAAGAGGCTGTTGCCCTTGGTGTGGGTGTGGCCAATTGGAGAGGAATTCTGTTTTCTCCTTAAACAGGGTACTGCCCTTGGTGTGGGTGTGGCCAATTGGAGAGGANTGCCCTTGGTGTGGGTGTGGCCAATTGGAGAGGAATTCTGTTTTCTCCTTAAACAGGGTACTGCCCTTGGTGTGGGTGTGGCCAATTGGAGAGGAATTCTGTTTTCTCCTTAAAGAGGGTGTCGCCCTTGGTGTGGGTGTGGCCAATTGGAGAGGAATTCTGTTTTCTCCTTAAAGAGGGTGTCGCCCTTGCTGTGGGTGTGGCCAATTGGAGAGGAGTTCAGTTTTCCCCTTTAAGCGGGTGTTGCGTTGGAGCAGTAGTGGCTTGGTCGTTGCTTGATGGGGGTTAAAAAGGGGCGTGTAGAAGCCAGATAAGAGCAGGTATCTTGGTGTTGACACACACTTGTTAGCAGCTGAGTTGCCATTTTCCTTGTCAGGTCGGCTTCAGATTGCTTTTAATTTTTGATTGTGTGTCCAACAATACTTTTGAAGAAAAATGACAAAAAACCTGCACTGCTTTATTTTGTAGGTCTGTGTAATGTGGGCTTTTTCAGTGTACTAGGTGGCTTTCTATAGCTACCTTGGACACTGGATTCAAATCCACCCCCACCCCTTTTTATACTGTAACAAGAGGTAGGCGTGACATACTGACTGCTGTTTCTTTGTTACTGCTGTTTTATGGCTGTTCCACAGTTTTTCTGCTGATGGTTTGTTCTTCTGTGTATTTCTATTTCCATAGGGTTAATTGTTTTATTTCTTATTTTATGGTTTAACTTGTAATATCATTGCTGTTATCTTTTTGTTTCATCAGCTGTTCTAAGTGGGCTTGCTGTTTTATTTGTTGTGTGGGGTTGATTATCTGCAGCTGCAGTAATCCCCCTTAGTGCTGGTAACTTGGAGTAGGAGTTGCTCATGATTGCTAATATGTTAACTTGTGTTAACATATCTATTGTTAACAGCATGTGTGAAGTGAGATCTTATTTGTATTATCTAGTGACTTAAGGACACTGATTGGAGTGGTGAGGTGCAGCGACTTCCAGCAATCGAGAACTGACCTCTGCAACTGTTGCCTTTGGTGTGCTTCCTCCAGCTCTGAAGTCGGTGCTGTGTGTGTGTGCGTGTGTGTGTTTTGGTCCCCACAATGGTAAATTCAATGTTATAAATATCTGTGACTGCAATCAAAAAATGAAAAATGGTTAAGGTTAGGGCTGGTTAGGGTTTAAGGTCATCATGTTGGGATTAGAGTTTTGCCCATAGAAATGAATGTCCCCACAAAGACATAATTACAAACCTACGTGTGTGGGTGTGTGGTGTTTTTTTTTTTAAATCTTTTTGAGTGGTGCCCTATTTCTTTTCTTTTGTATCTATTCATTTTTTCCCCCCGATTGTTTGTTTAAAATTAATGAAATTATTGTATGGGAAATGCTGTAGGATTTGGGCGGGGTCAACTTGTATTGGACGTTCCGTGGGGCCACCTGTGCCTTGTTGTGTCATTGGATTTGGCAGAGGCAGACACCCACCACATAAGCCATGTGCTTCCTTGGCCATGAAACAACACTGGCCAGCCATTTTCACTTGTCCAGGCTGCAGTATTATCATGAAATGAATATTGATTGTCTTTAAACTCTTGAATTGACCTGTTAGACTGGGAAGTAAATAATAAAGATAATATGCATGTCTTCAGAATTTAAAAACTTTATTCAGCAAGATCATATCAAGCCTGCACCTCAGCTTTGCACTGACAGTGTGATTTTTTTTCTCCTTATCTGTTCTGATAGGAGAAGCTTCTCTTATCTGTCCTGTCATGTTCATGCAAGCCCTCCAGAGGAAAACATTATAACTCTTGCTTGAATGTACCCTGCCAAGATGCTCTCCTCATCATTTCACGTGTAGATCTTCCCTCAAGGTCATTTTTTTTCTAGTATGTGATACAGGATGAGTGTTATTTGTAATAATTCCATCAAGCATAATCTTAACTGACTGACCCATAAGAAGTTAGCAGTTTGTTCCTTAGTAACAGTGATAGCATTAAATTCATCCATTTGATGGATCTACTAGGTTCTGCAACCCAAGATAGGTTAGCAATATAAAATACTGCTTTAATGTTCTGCTGGAATGTTAGCTGCCAGACAGTGTCGACGCACATGCTTCTACCAAAAATGGGCATTATTTTTTTGCCAAATTTCATTTAAAACTAGGAAATAAAACCACCAGGAAAAAAGCATAGAGGTTGAAGAAATCAAAGGGAAAACAATTTTGCACAGAGCAATGAATTTTGAGCAAATTATATGTGCATGACTTTGCACATTATTCATTTTTAACATTTCTTTCCACCATACCACAAGGCATGTTGATAATGAGAAATGGACCAAAATTTTGCATGTTTATATTTCATTACTAATATTTAATTTTATAACCAACATGGGGCAATATTCTGTCAGGATCCAGAGTACCAGAAAAGTGCCTGACTTTAGACTAAAAGTACCCCCTACTTAGTCATGTAAATGTCTAATGGACATCACTCCATGACCACAGGCAATCATGTCCTCTCATTTGCATAGTTATTTCACTTCCATGGCCTTGAATTTGAGTTACTCCTAAAACCCCACTGATACAATAACATTCCCATAGTCGTGCAATAACATTACCTGTCAGTTAAGGTCGCCAATGTGGATGATTAATCCAACAGTTGATGAATATGTAGATTGAGGGTGGTCATGTTAATAATATTCTACATCACTGATATTGCAAAAATGACCTTCTACTAAGTAGTATATAAATACCAGTCACATACATATACACGTGTGTGTGTGTGTGTGTGTGTGTGTGTTTAAACACACACACAGAATATTCATAGTTTATATAAGATGCAAAAATCAAAAATGAAAACACAGTAAAAACTATAAATAACGTATCACCCTAGGTCAGTCCTAGGTTCTAATCAATTTGAAATCATTTCGGTAATTAACTAAAAATGCATTTTGGCTCACGTAAAGAAGTGAAATTAACTTTTAAATTTTCAAATTGGGGTGCTACTTTGAGCTGTCATCTCACAGCACCTCTTCTTTGTACTTTAAACTTGCAATTCTGTGTTACATCGAACTTATGTATGCCAACATATGCTATAAGTTTCACATAGACAAACTCCCTTAACTCTATCCCCCAACTTTCCCACACTCTGGAAAGCAAGAAAACAGTAGCGCTGACCCTACAAAGGGTTGTGGCATCTATACCTGACCAGAAGGAACACCATGTTTCATTTCACTATTTATCTAACTGTACAGTTTATTATATTTATTTTGCAGTGAAATGGATACTCAAGCTAAGCCACAAAAATGAATCCACAAACTTATATGAACAGCAAGAGTAGTAGGTACTTCATCAGCTAACTCAACAGCATATTGCCTTTTTAGCTTGGCTTAGCTGCACCAAATCGACCTGGATGAGCAGTTTTGTTGCAGTGCCTGCTCTGTACTTGAGAGCTGCCATTATTCCCCCTATTCCAGTGCCAGGCTGAGGCTTATTTGGAGAGCGATTTTTCATTGCCTTTATATGTCGCTCATTTCTTTCAATCGCTGTATTTGTTTCTGTTGACCTTGAACAACAGATTAAGCCACTACTTCAGTGTTGCACAGACATACACACATTCAGGTACGACAAAGATTTGTGAAAGTTTGAGTCATTTGGGGGGTATATACCGTTAAAAGGCAACTGCTGCCGCAGACAGCCAACAAACTTTATGGATATTAATCTCACTGCGGTCGCTTCCCTAGTCTGGACCCTCAGAAAACCCGCAAGTTATAAATACTGGGAACATGGCATCTGTTTACATTTAGTCTTTCTGCTGAGTAAACACTTAAAGGAAGACTTCAGATAAGGATGCATATATCATACTATAAAGTGATAGGGGCTTTGACAAAATACCCTCCAAAATCCAGCTTCTGTGGAGTACAAAGGAAGTGAATATAATGTTCTGGGACAGTATTACTTGATAACAAATTAATATGTCCATTTCATTAGTTTATTTAGTAGTAATTATGCAGAAATGGCTTCCCTGGGTCACCATTTCTTGAATGAGTTTTACAGTTTTAATGTATACATATCATGTATATATTAATAGTTATATAGTTAATCAATATAACATAACTAATTTTTGTGGAAGTGATGATGAAATCTTGAAAATCCGGCACGCAAAAATAAGCTACAAGTCTCTCTTTTTTTTTTTTACAACCTTCCATACTTTTTTAGTCCATCTTTTGCAGCACAACACTGACACCAACTGGTTACAAAAAAAAATACACAAACATTTCAGATAATGTTCACTTTTATTCCCATTTCTATCTTGCAGATTCATTTATTTAATAAGCATTCATAACTGGAGACTAGCTTGAGTTACTGATTCAATGGAAAAACCACATTTCACTCAAGTGCAAAATCACTGAGTCATTATCTTGAAACATACAATATTGCACTGTTAAACACAAACTAATTTTGAAGGCACTACTGTATTGACAAAAAATAAATTGATATCATTAATAGCTAATTTGCAAAGCATGCTGATGTAAGTTATGGCTAATTCAATCAACAACAGTGCAACAATATACAGGGTGTCCAAAAAATCTTAATGCAGTTTTAAGCTTTAATAACTTTTTTAGTATAAATGCTACAAACAAAAAAAATAAAAAAATGACATTTGAAAGTTTAATTGCTTAAATTTAAAAAACATTGTTAATTTTCTTATTAAATGTCCACCATCTTGTGCTATACGATTTTCTGTAATTGATTTTTGAGGTTTGTAGAAACTTTCATCAGCTGATGCTTAGTGACTGAATGGATTGCATTTGTAATTGTAGCCTTAATTACACACCCGGTTTGGATGCATAAATGACAGTTTTAATGTGACCCCACAAAAGGACCTTCGCTACCAATGCACTGGTAGGACATGTCATCCAGAAACTCAATATTAAAATAAAACATTTATTAGTCCAAATTGCTAAATATTAATTAGCATTAAAATAAAAAAAAAACTTTTAAATGCTTTTGTTTGTCATAATTATTCTTATAAAGCTTTAAAAGCATTTTAAAACAAGAGTTTTAGGGCACTCCGTATATCTTACTATGCTAATACACTAGACCAGTATATACAGTATATACAGCATATATTGTAGTGTACCCAGTTCTCCAGTGCCCTAACCCTAGCTATAGATCATATGGGAATGAAAGTACCACATCAAAATTTCTTCTGTTCTCCAAAGGTTACTGATACCTTCCTTGTTTTAACTAGAAGAACATTATGGTTCCCAAACCTCTCCCCAGTCATTCCAAGTTAGATATTAATTATCTAATGGAATAATGGTCAGGTGAAAAATTCATGGGTGTACGGAAGGTTTCTGCAAATACTGGGGTGATTTTAGGAGAGATTTTGAAATGGCTAAGCTGACAGTTTGTCAGACAATCAGACAAATCATCATAATTTTATACCAACATGTATATGTATCTATGTGTATATGTGTGTGTGTAATAAAGTGTTATGCTATGCTAATATACAATCATTGATGTTAGCCAAGCTTTGTTGTATCTAAATATGACTAATGCATCGCACTTTCCAAGGCCTCTCAGGTCATAACCTCGGGTCAAAATTCTGTAAGTTAGCAGCCTCCGACCAGGCAGAGTATTGGGCTCCGTCCATTTCCGATGCCACCTGGTTTCCACTGGCGAGAGCATGGTTGGTGCCACCGATGGTGCTACTGCATTCTGGACACTTGCTTTCCTGCATCGCCCCTCCACATTCTCCAATGGCGTAAACATGACCTTTGGGGCACTTGTACCAGTGGCCTTTGGGCAGACCTATGGCTTCCACAATCATCACCCTCTCCTCCTCAGTGATGTCCAGCCCATTACAAGACAACTTCTCCTTCAGCCTGTCCAGTTCCTGCTTTGCCCATGACTCCTCTGTCTGAGTGAAAGGCTTTGTTCCTTCCAGGAGCCTCCTTAGGACCTGCTCCTCCACCGCAACGTCAGTGTTTTTTACCTCGTCTCCAGCCCTGCTGCAGCACACGTTAAGCTCGGCCAAGAAGGTGAGCCTCTGTACCTCACTCTGAAGGTCTGAAAACTGCTGCTCTGAGAATTTTTGATTGGGATCCCAAAGCCATTCCAGACATTCCTGAATACGGCTTGAAAAATACTCCCTATACTCCCTTGACATGTTTTTTTTCATTATACGTGTTAGCTTTGTCAGCCTGTCTAGGAAATTCATTTTGTTTTCAATTCTCCATAGAATCTGTAATGTTAAGTCATTCTGTTCTAACTGCTTCGTAACAAGATCATATTTGTGTGACGTGTACAGTAATAGTACATCCATTGTCTGTAGATTTTTCAGGAGGACATTTCTTTTCCTCTCTATATCTTCTGGAGAGCCATTCAGCACCACCTTCACCTTCTCAATCTCAGCGAGGCTACGATTGACATGAGCTCCATACCGCAAGTTTCTCCGAATGGGTGTACGGCACCTGGGACACTCTTTAAGCCGAATGGCCTGCTGGTTTAGATTGCCTGCATTGTCATCATCTGTTCCCTCCTTCATGAATTTGTCCAAGGCAGACGTCTCGAAAATGTGTCTACAATCCTCCAGCTGAATGAAGCGGGCAAGGGGATCATCTTCCGTGCCGAAGAAAATCTCTGTCACTTCTTCATGATGACATGTACGGCATTTATTGGGGCAGGTCTCCCCACAGAGCCCGATACAGGGGTGACCACAAGGCAGCATTTTGGTGCAGACCCTGAAGCACGGAGTCCGATCGCAGGGCTCATGGCACAGTTTGGTGCAGCGCTGATGGGGGCACTGCCAAGCACAGGGTTCCTTGCAGGGTGCACAGGGCTGGCCACAGGCCTTGGGGCAGGCGCTATGCACACAGCGGTTCTCACACGGACACTGGCAAGGCGGGCACTCGCTGACGCAGGGCACTTGGCACACGTGTGAGCAGATGAGAGGGCGACCGCAGTGAAAGTTACAGGCCTTATGGTAGCGGCCTTGGTAGCACTTTTGGCACGTGCCCGAGCAAGGATGCCCACACTTCAGGATCTCACCGCACTTCTTCTGGCAGCCAGGCTGCCTGTTCACCGCGTTGCTAATGTAGTGGCAGGGTACCATTTGATGGTGCCCACACTGCAACTCCATATTCACTTTCACCATGCAGAGGGGGGTGCAGAGCATCCCACACACCATGTCACAGGCGTGGCCACACTCCAGCGTCTGCTCGCATGGTTCCTGGCAGATGAACTGCTGAGGGTCTTGATGGCACGGCACCATCTGCTTGTGCCGACACGTTGGGATGACTTTCTCCAGGGGTACAGGGCATTCTGGACAGTCCTGGTAGCAGAACGAAGGACATCGGTGCCCCAGCTGGCACAGAACCTTCGTACAAGGCTTCAGACACTGGAACTTCTTGTGGTCAGCGTCATAAGGGTGACAAGCACGCGTGCAGACGTGGCCGCAGGCCAGGCGGAAGTCACACGGCAGCTGGCAGCCCCCTTCCGGCACCTTCTTAAAGTCATCGGCAGAAGAAACGAGGGTACGCGTCCCAGGGTGGTTTTGACAGCACAGCATCAGCTGCCGACCCGCCCGCCCGTGCTCTCGGAGGGTGTGCAAGATGTTGCTCCACAGCTGAACCCTGCCGAGCATTCCCAGGTTCCCGATGCAGTAGAGACCCTTCTTAGCGCGAGACAGGGCTACACACACCCGGTTTGCGATCTGCAGGAAACCCACGCGTCCCTCGGGGTTGCTGCGAACCAGCGACAGCAGGATGATGTCGTTCTCCTCGCCCTGATACTTGTCCACCACATGAACCTTAACCCCAGCAAACTGAGCGGCAGGCAAAAGTTTGCGAAGACAGTGCAGCTGCCCTGTATAGGTGGTAAGAATGGTGATCTGCGATGGCTGGTAGTCCTGGCATAGCAGGTAGCGGCACAGAGCCACAACAAAGAGAGCCTCATGTCGATTCTTGTGACTGTGTCCATCTATAATCTCCTCCTCCGGTAATTCATGCTCCACAAAGAACAAGTTGGAAAGAATCCCCTGCAAAAATGGACAAACCAACATAGGATTATGTTTTATGTTCCATCCATTTTTTATAACCTCTTATCCTATTCAGGGGTTCACACCCTATCCGGGAAGCTAGGGACACAAAGCAGGGAACAACCCAGGATGGGGCACCAATCCACTGCAGGGCACCACAGCATTCACAGACAATTTGGCAACTCCAATTCACTTTAGCATGAATTTTAGACTTCATTTTAGACTTATTATTTTAATAATGAATAATATAATTTGATCTTCTGAAACTGAAGTAAAAACTACTGGGAAAATATTCGTTTTTAAAAGAGAGGAGGCAAACCTTCATGTTTCCGTACTCCAGCACACTGGGGTGATTCTCAAGCTGAGAGTAGATGTGTGGAGTGAGAAGCTGAGCAATTTCTGGTCTCATGCGATGCTGCGAAAAGGAAGTATTGTTGAAAGGGAAATAATTGGCAACACAATACGCCAGTTCAATTTTTACTCTTCAACTGAAACAAGGGATGCAGTTGCGTGAGCACCACATACTGACCTGATAGTTGAGTCGGACGTAGGGGAAATCAAGTTTCACCAGCCTCTCAAACAGCGACACCTCCAGGTTGAAGTTCTTGGCCAGTTCATAGACTGTGGCACTAGGGCGTAGCTTCGAGCAGAAAAGGTCAAAGGTCACGCAAAGACCCACTCAGAAAACAAGAAATCATAAAAGTATGCTAGATAAAACATTATGTGGGCCCAAAATATACAGTTTTGTCAAAAGGTATTGTCTAAATGTATATTTACATGTCATCACATTTTAAACTTGGTCAGATTACAAAAACCTTCCAAACACTTACAAGTAACTGCTGAAGGCTGTGATGTTATGCACTTGAAAGCAAATGGGAAATAAGCAGCAATGCGCCATTTTTTATCCTAATAGTTTGCTGTTTATTTTTACCAAATACTAGGTAAGCATTTGCGACAGATAGATGTACTGAACTGTGCTAAAGCCTTATGTAGTCAAAGAAAATGCACAAAGCTGTTCATCTGGGTCGTAAGTATATATTTGCTCAAAAAAAAATTTAGTGATTAAGAGGAAAAGGTTGGACAAGTAAAGGAGTGGGGGGGGAGGGGAGACTCATGCAGTAAAATTATAGTATTAGCGAGGAAGTCTAGAGCTGTCTAAAGGACATCAAGAATTTTCTTTCCATCTATTTGTATAAAAGAAAATCAAAGTGTAAATAAAACTGACAGGTTTGACTCTGGGTACTGCAATTCCTTGAAATTTAACTTTACAAAATATATGCAAATGAACAACAACACAATGGAAAGTACAAATTTAGTCTGATCTCCATACAAAGTTGCTGATATCTTGTAGGATGGCGATATGAACACCACTTCATTTCCCAAACCTCTCCTCAGGGGCACCCCAGCCATTCATTAAATTTCAGCAATTCATTAATTAATTTCATTGGTCTCAGTGAGGTGTTGATTAGCCAAACATGGTGTGCTAATGCTCAAATAAAAAAATACATAGGTATACTGCATGGTTACTGCAAATATCAGGGCGGCTTTAGGAGAGGTTTTGAAATTGCTAAGCTAAGACGCTTTGATGTCATCATACCGGTTGTTTTGCAGCAACATAAACATCTTTTAAATAGAATTTTGTTTGGAAGCTTAAGACTTTTACACAGTACTGCTTGTGTACTAAGTAACAGGAGCAGTTCTATACACAGGCATAATAATAACATCATAGACTTAGTGGGGATCCCCGGAGGAGGAAGAAGACAAGGCAGGCGCACACCTGCTGATGATCTCCAATGAGAATGAGGTGCTGACACGCCTGGCTCAAGGTGGTGATGATGTGGGCCTCCAGCACCTCAGCAGCCTCCTCCACGATCACCAGGCGAGGGCGCACCTCCTGCAGGATCCGGCGGTACTTGGCTGCACCGGTGGTCGTCATGCCTATGACCTTGGCCTCCCGCAGCACGCACAGGTCCCGCCGCAGCTGAATCTCGGCCAGCCGCTCAGCCGCTTCCTGATAAGCTTGCTCAGACTGCAGGGCCCGGGCACGCATGTCTGTGCGGTAGCGCATTAGCCAGAGCCTGCCGCGACAGAACGCACATCAGTCCGGTTACTCCTCCAGCAAATTTTTAAGTTATTGATAGTATGCTGTCCTTACAATATGTCTCTCCTGGTGCAAAATGAGACGGCTAGCGAACAACGAATCAACTTCCCAAAAATAAAAGCTAGGAAAGACTTTTCTTGATTGTTACAGCTGTAAAACCGAAAATAAAAACAAATAATGTACACATAGGAATGGAAAGCAGTAGCAGTTTCATCAAAACATTGTAAAAGTTTCATGAATATATTCAGAATCTTGACATTCTATATAGCTTCTGATACAACCAATTATTTCAATTACATTACAAGTAAATATACTTCCTGCATAATTTAAAACAATGTAAAAAATGTGCTACTTGCAGACACATTGTGTCCAAGGTTCACCATCCAAAGAAAATGCACAACTACAAACAAACTTCACAACGCAACACCCCCACCTCCCGGCGCCTGGCATTTCTTGTGCCCCTGGATCGAGCCACTTGTCATGAAATACTTAAAAATATAGACCACTGGTGACTCAAACTGTTGAATTTGCCAATGCGAATGAAAGCCATCCTGGTCCAGGCTTCAGGTCAAGTGAAGGAATCCCATTCAACTTTCAGGACAGGCCTTACTGATCAACCTTCTGAGAGAGGCTCCTTAAGAAAGGTAAACAATCAGCAGGCGCTATCTTACCTCTCACATTGTCATTTATCTACTTAATTCCAGTGTCTTTCCTGTGAAAAGCAATTAGTTTTTTTTCCTCCAAACTCTAAACTGATAATTAAATTAAATAAAGAGCGGTATGGTGGCTTAGTAGGCCACGCTCTCAGGTGATGTCCAAATCACACCACTGCTCCACAGTCTGGGAAATCTTAACCTTTTACATTAAACAGTATGTTTTAGGGTTAGGGTTAGGGTACTATCCCAGAAAATGTCTGTATGGCATTGAGAAGTGGCTACACCTAACTGCTCTTTAATCTCATTTTATTAATTGATTCGAAAGCCATGGAGGTTGTGCACAGTGCCTTTGGATTGGCAGACAGGGTGGTGGTCTCCGTCTTTAAGAAAGGGGACCAGAGGACGTGTTGCAACTTCAGGGGGATCACACTAATCAGCCTCCCTGGGAAGGTCTCTGCCTGGGTACTGGAGAGGAGGGTCTGTCCGTTGGCTGAACCTCAGATCCAGGAAGAGCAATTAGGTTTCCGTCCTGGTTGCGGAGCACTGGACCAGCTCGCTCAGCCGATCTACATGTGTTTTATGGACTTGGACAAGGTGTATGACCATGACCCTCAGGAGGTCCTGTGGGGACGCGGGGTGCTTCAGAAATACAGAATACAAGGCCCGCTGCTATCTCTCTTTAGGTCCATGTGTGACCGGAGCAGGGGTTTGGATCACATTGCCAGCAGTTTGTCAGACAGATCGGTGGGTGTTGGACTCCGCCAAGGCTACCCTGTGTCACTCATTCTGTTCATAACTATTATGGGCTGAATTTCTAGGTGCAGTCGAGGAGCGGAGTTGGTCCAGTTCAGTGACCTCAGGATCATATCTTTGCTTTTTTGCATATGTGGTGCTGTTGGCTTCATCATACGCCAGGGCAGGATGCAGCTGAGTATGAGGTGGCCGGGATGAGGCTCAGCAAGGTTCTCAGCCAGAAAAGGGTGGACTGCCCCCTCCAGGTTGGGGAGGAGTTATTACCTCAAGTGGAGAAGTTTAAATATTGTTTACCAGTAAGAGAAGAAGGGAGCAGGATATTGGTAGGCAGACCAGTGCAACATCAGCAGCTACGCAGACGCTGTACTGATCTGTTGTGGTAAAGAGAGAACTGAGCCAGAAGATGAAGCTTTAGATTTACTGCCTACCCTATATTTTTACCCGCAGCTATGGTCACAAGCTCTGGGTAGTGACTGAAACAAGATCACAGATACTAGTGGCAGAAATGAGTTTCCTCCACAAGGTGTCTGGGCTCAGCCTTAGAGATAGGGTGAGGGGCTCAGACATGTGGGATGGGTTCAAAGTACAGCCGCTGCTCTCCTGCATTGAAACGAGCCAGCTGAGATGGTTCAGGCGTCTATCTAGGGTGCCTCCTGGACGGCTCCCTGGGGAAGTGTTCCGGCATGTTCAGCCTGGAAGAGACCCCGGGGCAGACCCAGAACACGCTAAAGAGATTTTATTTCCCGGCTGGCCTAGGAACGCCTAGTTGTCCCTCTGGAGAAGTTGGCCAAGGAGAGGGAGGTCTGGGCTTCTGAGGTTATTTTACTAAAAATCTATGTCTGGGATACAGATGAAAATAATGAACAGCATCGTAAGCGTTTGAATGACCACAGGTAGTAGTGCAGTAGAAGATATAAGCAGCTTAATGTCCTTACAGGTTCCCTGCCATTCTGAATTAACATTCCGGGGAATGTATACTGTAAAATACCAACCAGCGTATTGAGTACAGGGGTCAGAGACCCTGATGTTAATCTTACACCACAGTGCATGCAGAGGGACCAAGGAGCCTTGATGCCCAGCTCACAACTTAATCTCTGTAGTGCCCTTCTTTTAAGCTTGCAGTATACGCATCAAGGAGCATAGTACATTCCAAGTGTCCTACGTTTTCAGCTGGCAACGTGAATGCTGGGGTGGCTGGGGGCCTTGGCAGGTAAATCTCTCAGTATATAGAAGAGGCCCCAGGGGCTCTAGTGTACTGCTTGAGCTGTATATACTGGGGCCCTCGTGGTTAACCTGTGCTGCATTTGCTGAGAAGCCCAGGGGCCCAGATGGTTAATTTGTGCTGTATATGTCCAAGGGTCCTGGTGTTGGACTCCTGTTATATATGAGGATCTTGGTGTTCAGCTCGCACTATAAATGTTGCGACTCGTGGCTACCTGCTCTCTGAGCACCCAGGGCACTGGCCCCACTGGCCTGGTCCATAATGCAGCTGTGGTTAGGTCAGTACAGGTTGTTTTACCTGTATAGTTTCCAACGCTCCTGCAGACTGAGTGTCCACATGTTGTGGATCCTGGCCTCATCTTCCTCACTCATGGTTGTGCCCTTTGCCAGCTCCCTGCGAATTCGCTGCTTCATCTTCTTCTTCTGCTCTCCCTGCACCTGTAAAGAGAAACACCGACTCAAACTGTTGGATTTTACAATGCGAGTGAAAGCCATCCTGGTCCAGACTTCAGGTTAAGTGAAGGAATCCCATTCAACTTTCAGGACAGGCCTTACAGATCAACCTTCTGAGAGAGGCTCCTTAAGAAAGGTAAACAATCAGCAGGCGCTATCTTACCTCTCACATTGTCGTTTATCGACTTAATTCCAGTGTCTTTCCTGTGAGAAGCAATTAGTTTTTTTTCTTCCAAACTCTGAACTGATAATTAAATAAAATAAAGAGCCTTAGAGCGGTATGGTGGCTTAGTAGGCCACACTATCAGGTCTCAGGTCTGAATGTCCAAATCACATCACTGCTCTATGGGGTGGAGAATCTGCATGCCCCTGTCCCAATCCCCAACAGTCCAAAGAAATGAACCTGGGTGAATAGATTTTCTAAATTGCCCAAAATATGATGGACTGGTGCCCTTTCCTGGATGTTCCTCTGCCTATGCTTCCAGGGATAGACTGCTAGCTTCTGGAGACCCTGTACTGGATGAGTAGCCAAAAGATGGATGGATAAATAGACTTACTCTCTGTGACTATTCAGAGAGTATTTTGTAATTATCACAGCGAGATACAGAATCGTCTGCTTAACCTCCCATGGTCCATACCTGCCATTCACCCAGTTTCTGACCGGGCTCTTGTTCGATGTTCTCTAGGTTTAGTGTCAACATCTGTCTGGCTAACTCCATCACTACAAGGTCCTCTTTCTTCTTCCTCTTGCCAGTGCCTCTGTCGTGAAAGTCCGTGCCCTCAAGGATCCGCTCAGCTTGGATCAAATCCGCCTCTTCCTCCACCTCCACCAGCTCCTCCTCCTCATCCTGATGAGGCTCCTCCTCTTCTTCTTCTGTCATTTAGAAGGTGATGCCATACTGTACTATATCAGCATTCTACACAGTACAACAGATCTCTGTATGTATGCTGACATTATTAATATCATTCAAGCATCTTGTGAAATGCTTTCCTTAAATTTAGTATTTTTACTTATGAGTATTTTTCCAGATGGATGGACCATTATGGTCATCCCATCTATTATTGACTTCTAAATCAGTTTTATTTGTTAGCACTGTCCTTACCAGCATTATCCAATATCTGCTGTGTTGTCTGCTGGAAGGCAGAAGAACTAAGGCCCAGCCACTCTAGGATCATGGACTTTTTCTGCCCACTGGTCTGGAATCCATCCCACACCTGCGTACATGGTTAGGTCATTGTGCAGAAGCAGCTAAAACTGCATAAAATACTTTAGAGACTAGTAAGTTTCTGCTGTCCAATATAGCTAAAATGGAACATGCTTCTCAGATTTATAACTTGCATGGCCTTCCACACGTAAGCTATCAAAAAAGCTGTTGCAGGAGTGTTACTAGTTCAGGTTCTATGTGATAATTCTCTTACACTCCATCCAGCACCACAAGAAGGTGGGGTCAGGTCAGGAGTCTTACAGGGTTCACATTCAGGCTGATCCAGTGATCCTCAGAGATAAACTTCTCCAGGAATTGCTCATGAAGGATCCCACGTAGGCTACACTCCAGCTGAGCGGCCTGCTTCTGAATCTTCTGCTCTGCCTGGGCCAGCTCCACGCTGATCTGAGCAGACAGAAAACTAGTGCTTAAGTAGAGTGTCATCCACCACACTGTGTTTTCCTTCCACTTTCGGATCATAAACACTTATGTCTGCAGCAGAGATGAAGATTGGGAATGCCTACTTGACCTTTGGATTAGAAAATTAAGAAAAAAATTCCCAGTATAACGAAGTTGGTCAAGTTTTTCCTTGTTCCATTGAATATCAGAACCAGATTGAGTATGAGCTCTGTACCACTCATTCTCTAGAATGTTTTCATTCTAGCCCTACCTTAATCTGGCTCAGATGGTCCTAAACAGGCTAATAATTAGGGTGACCAGATAATCCATGTCAGGGAGGACACTTTGAGCTACTTCGGGTTTTACAAACTAATTTCAAATTGAAAGGCTCCAGTGCTCGGATAAATAGTTCAGCTCTTCTTGTGCTTTGACTGGTTTGTTTCTTTGACTGAAAGACGCATCCAGCTGTTTCACATTAACATTAGTGACACATGTATGATTATAGGAGACTGACCAATCAGCACACAGCAAGAACTCAGTGCTCAAGTGAAATCCAGGTCCGTTTAATTGAAATTGTAATTTACAATTCCTGTCCTAGCTCAGAGTGTCCTCCCTGACATGGATTATCTGGTCACCCTACTAATAATCAATGTGGCAGGTTGAAAGCAGTGTGGACTAGAATGAACAGAGTTGGGTAATTCAGATCCAGAGACTAAAAGTCTGGGATTTAGTTTCAACCAAGCAGTTGAGCATAAAGAGTCACAGTCACAGAGTACTCGACTGGTTGGTTGAAACAAAATCCCGGTCTGGACTTTTAATGTCTGGACCTGAATTACCCAAGTCTGAGAATGAAAACATTCTGACATAGGGGGGGGGTGCCATGAACAGGATTGAGAACTACTGCTCTATGCAATTTAAATATCATTGTGTATTCACAATACTTCATTTACAGGCTAAAAATGTCCGACAACACATTGCTTCTGGAATCTCCACAATGTGGTCTCCAGACAGCAATGCCAAGTCACTGTCACTAAGGGAATGAAGTCACCTCGTAGTAAGCACGGCGCAAATGGATGGGCAGGTTTCGGCGGAACTCGGCGGCCCCCGTTAGCTCCCGCAGTGTGAAGTGCTTGAGGACCTCACTACTGCTGCGGCCGCCCACTCTCACTATTCCGTTTCCAAGGAATCCATGAATTCCTGTGTCAAAGGAATATTGTTACATAGAATCAAGTTCCTCTACAGAAAAATAGGTTCTATTAATAAGTTGCGTAACATTTCTTTTGAGCTGTGCACAAGGCCCACCTTCCAGGAACTGGTCCAGTGCATGATTAGTGTAGCAGACAACCAGCACAGGTGTGGTGACCAAATCTGACCACATATCAGAATTCTTCAAGAGGGCTTGGGCTATCTTCAACCCCACATAGGTTTTTCCTGCACAGATCAAATGGTACTATAAGTATATTATATAGTCAGTAACCTGGGCAGCAACCAGTATGAGGTGAAATATGGAAATGCATATTACCCTAGAATAACATCATAGTAATTGGTGTATAAATACAAATAATTACTGCTTTCGTGGGACTAAAAATAAAATTAACTGCAAGTAAATCTAAAAAAGTTCATTTGAAAAAACATATGGGTAAGATCATTTTAATGATTATGACTACAAAAATGTGTGATTCTGTTCTATTAAACACACTACAAAAAAGAGATGAAAGACGAGTGACCCTATAGTTTCTGGTATAGATCCTACTCAGTTGACCCTTCCATCTATATTAACGATTCCTTCAATGATATGTAAAGTTTAATGGATAATGGCAAAACTGATGCAATCTACTAAAATAGTTAAACGATAAAAATGAGGTTGACCTGTTCCTGGAGGCCCTTGTATGATGGCGAGCTCCTTAGTGAGAGCCAGTTTGAGGGCTTTCATTTGTGACTCGTCTAAACCTAACTGCTCCATGTCAGGCCAGGCTCTGGGCTCCAGAGTTCTGAAGGGCTTGACGTTCTTCTGAAAGCCCTGCGCTGCTATACACCCCAGGTCAAGTGTCTTCTCCATGGTCAGGTAGGCAGGAGGCCGTATCTCCGATTTGCATTCAACTATGTACCTGTGATCAAATGCATCACACACTAAGGAAATTTTAACTGCTAAAATGTTATTCAAAATTGATAAGTGCATTTTTTCGATTTGTTTCTAAAATAACACATAAATAATATCCTACAAATTGCTTTCCATGACTCAACATAATCTACTACTGCAGAATTACAGTACCATCCTTGATACATGAAACCTCAACAGTGGACAGACCTGTGAAATGGCAGGTGATCTGCATCTTCTTCCTGCAAACCCTCCAGCACATGGCGATAGGCTTCAAAGTAGGCCGTGGTTTCCACCATGAGGAAGGAAGCAGACACCTGGATTTCGGCCAGCGCCACGCGACTATCCTGGGAGAAGCTGAGCTGCACCAGCCCCTTCTGAAGATCTTCTGGAACTCGGTCTGACACAGTGGCAAACAGCAGCGTCTCAAAGTTGTCATGGGACAGGCAAACCAGGGAGCCGTACAGTAACCGTTTGGAGTTCTGCCAGCGGACAAACTGAAAAAGGAGTGAACATCAGAAACCACTCAGACTCTCCAAAAGTATTTCATGTTAATTACAAGTAACACTTTTATGTTGCTCTTAGAAACACAGCTAAGAGAAACCATTAAAATGTAGATCTTCTGTATTCATAATTACAAATACAAATATCCAAAGTTCATCGCTAAGTTTAAGTTATATACTATTATGCTCTTCAGGATGATAAACTTCTTAAATGTACAAACAAAATTTATAACAACACATATTACTGATATTTTTCATAGTTCACTAAAAAGAAACATAATACTTTGAACTGAGAGTGGTCACTCTATTGAGACAATTTGGAATTTCAGTGACATACCCCTGGTTTGCATTCACCCTTATGTTAATGTACATATGTAGCTTTTTCCACACATCTAATAACATGGAATTTATGATCCTAAATTTGACATTACTCTAGATGTTGGCAAAACACTGACTTGCATCACATAAACTGCCTGTAACAAATGTGTAACTTACATGCCAAGCAAAACAGAAAAATGCTCATTACTTGCAAGAACTAAATTAGTTTATTTGGTCTAGATATTTACAGTAAACATACCAAACTACATATGAAAATATTTCATTTTGAGAGGATTTGCCTTTAGCAAAGTTGTCTAAAGGATGGTAGGCATTTAAGTCTTGTATCTTTTGAAGTCTGAGTGGGTTTCCTCTCATAATCTGAAGGCAAGCAGTTGGACTAATTGGTCCATCTGCAAATGAGCAAAGTTTGTGCAGGTGATGACCCAGTAATGGATATGAGGTGTGGAAGATAGACGGGCGGATAGTATCTAATGAAACGTAATGCTATGGCCGAGCACATGCAAGTGGGATTTTAATTTTTTCAAGGATTTTATGCAAAAGACAAAAAACAATATTGGATCTCTGCAAAAATCTACAGTGTACGATCTTAGTAATAAATGACTTCTCTTGTTTAAGCAGTTCTAATAAGTTTTAAAGAAAATATGGCCTCAAGCAGCATCCAGGTGCAGCCATATGGTTACATCAAGGATTTATAATTGTTTTCAATTAAAACTTTTGATCAAGAGACATCTGAGCGAGTTTGCAAATAAACATGCAAATAAAAGGAATTTCAATGAGGATCCACATTCAGTGCAGGATTGTTACTTATTCAGCCAATATAACATTTTCTAAATTGCTTTTAAGCAATTCAGGAAGATAAACATTCTAGTGGATATTTAATATCAGTAAAATAATAGTTTAGGAGATACACTTGGCTAAATTCATTAAGCTCGCTACCATTATTCATCTACCAATTTTCCATATATGCCTCTTATACTATCCAAAGTTTAATACTGTTAAAGTTATATAACCATGGGTCTAAATGAACAAGATAAAATTGCATTTTAACTCAATCAGCTGCATACTACTGAGTAATGCATTCATTTCTCTAGCAGAGAAGATTTTTTAGGAAAATAAATGGTGCCAAATGCAACACTTTTTAAGTATGATCCATTTCGGTAAATGTTGCAATACCAAGACTGAAACAATTAAGAGCAAAGTAATAAATGGGCGACAATGTGTGTGATATGGGGCTGTTATGATATCATATTTTCATTACACAATTATCCTGGCCAAAAGAATTCACGATAATGACATGAGGTATTTATAGAAAACTAAATATAGTAGAACCTTGGAACTCAAACACCTCTCAACTCGGCCAATTCGGACGTCGAACGGGTCTGTTAAACTTTTTTCGACTTGTACCTCGACCAAAATCTTGGAACCTGACTGTTCCTGCTAAAACTTGTATGGGTCGAGACATGCACAACTCTACCGATTCAGACCTCAAACGGGTTGGTTGAGAAAAATCTAGCCGCAACTAGACTGAAAACTCTGAACACAACAAAACAAAACAGACCTGCTAAAACAGATCGAGACATGTCCCCCTTTCCAAACAATGCATGCACTCAAAAAGTTACAAAATTCAAAACCATCAAAATTTGGATGATCCTTAACATGCTTAGCTAATATGGACACCATTACTATCTATAGCTTCTATAACTGATACCAGAGGTATGCCATTTGTTTTGAACTTTTGTTTCTGAGAAAGGTCACTTCAAACCCCGGCATCTTGCAGCTAAGAAATAGGTTGAGAGATGTTTTAGATTAGAACACTTGACTCTCACTGTGGACAATGTTGGACTATAACATACTGAACATTATCCTCGCTCACCTTCAAAGGGCTTGCGTCAAACTGGACCTTATAGGCAATTCCTGATGGGGTACACAGAGGCACCACGAGACGAGTATCAAAGTAGATCCTAATGTCATTGAAACGTCTTCCCCTCATGTGCACTTGACCTTGACCCTGTTCTTGATAAAACTCCAGCAGCTGCTTTATTCCCTCACGCAAAGGCCGGACAAAGTCCTCGCGGAGAAGTCGAAAATGGGTATCCAGGTAAATCTCACTACTAGCATAAGCCTGCGATGTGATATTAGGCCGTAAGAAAGGCTTCTCATTCTGGTGGATCTCCTCCGGTGTTGGATAAATGGGCATAGTGCGGAAATCTGCTACTCCTGGGGGGGACTCCTCAGCTGTGAGAAATGTATAGTTGTCTGACCTCAGAGTGCCATCCCGTGCTTTCTCTGTTAGATGGTTAACCAAGTTTTGTATCTTCTCCAGATTTTGCTCAGTGTCTTCCTGGATCATTACACCTGAGGCTCGTAGCTCATTAATGGTTTGCCTGAGGAGAGTCACAAGCATAGAGACCACCGGAACAGAACTTGCCGGGAATATCCTGATCACATGTGACAGAAGACTGATTATGTTATCTAAGTGTTGTGGGTATTGCATCCTGCGGGCTGGCATATGGTCTGTCATCATCCCAGCCACGTAGTGAGGGAGTATTGTCCGTAGAAACATGGAATCTTTAATAATTGCTGCTAAGTGCTGCACTATTTGCCGGTCAATCTTAGAGCTAAGAGCATGGCTAAGAACCTGACAGAGCAGTTGGACAAAATTGTGGCCCATCTCCATCTCTTCTAGCAGGATTTGCAGCCCCTGACTGGATGACAGAGTGATGGCTATTTCTGATGCCTCTTTCATTGAGAGCTCTTCCAGGTTCCTCAACCCTAGCTTCCTGACCTCTGGTACATCCTCTCTCATTTGACCCCTTCCTCTCCTGCCCCCTCTGCCCCTTTCCCAGGCTCCATTCCCTCTCCTTCTCCCTGGATTTTCGTCCCTGTTTCCTCCGTTCCGCCAATTGTCATCCCTCCTGTCATCTTGTTGCCCCCTGAAATTCCACCCTCCGAGGTCTCCTCTGTTTCGCCAGTTACCATCCCTCCTGTCATTCTGCTGCCCCCTGAAATTCCTCCCTCTGACGTCCCCTCTGGCCCTCCCCCTTCCTCCTCTACCCTGGGGGGGTCTCCAGTTATCTTCTCTCACTGCAGCTCCAGCACCTTTAAAACACAAACAAGGATAATTGATGATGTGGGATTTGGGAGCTCAAAGCATGTTTGCCAGTAGTGCTGCAATATTTTTAGCACGTCTGCAAGATATTACCTTCCTGGTGCTCAGCATTTGCTCTAGCGATGCCCCTCTGACCACGGGGCCTGTTCATTTCCCAGACACGTCTCTCAGATTCAGGACGTGTTCAGTTCCTAAATGAGGAGAGAAACATAAAAAAGATTATCAGGCAATAAAGAAAATGTCTTGATTTAGTTTTATTATTAAAAAAAAAGTATTGCTATTACCATCTTGTACATGTATGATATTTACTATTGCTCGAGACAAAAGTATATACACTATATGCAGAATTACTAGGCAAGTGTGTATTTTACTTTTATCTTGAGTTCTTGGCCTTTGAAGCAAAACGGGAAATCATGGATACTTCCCTGTGCAGAATTATTAAGAAAATTGCAATTACTATTAAAATGTGCCCAGAAAAGGGACTTGTGGAGAGCAAAAGAAAGAAAACAGGAAAGTGCCTATCAAAGGACTACCAGACTTTTAAAACGTGATCATTGTACAATCAAGAATTTTATGGCCAACAGCCAAAGAGTAACAAAGAAGCGTGTGTGTAAACAAAGATGCAAATCACCTTACAAAACTTTGCATCTAATTAAATGAGACTTGGATGGATGGATGGACTTCTAGAAACCCTTCAGCGTCAAGCACATCCTTTTCTCAAAACTGCAATCTGAATGGAACCTGTTGAAGTTCTAGGTGCAGTGTGCAATGTGACATTGCTATGGTCACAAAGACTCAATCATGACCTCCACTCAATAAGACACACAAGCTAAAACCTCACGAATGAGCATGGAAACGTCTTGAGACTGATTTCACAAAGGTTTTGTGGACAGATGAGATGATAATAACTCTTGATGGACGAGATGGATGGGCCAGTGGATGGACTAGTAATGTACATAATGAACCGTACCAGATCACACAGCAACAAGGCAATGGAGGAGGGCTGCAGTGATCTGCAATTATCAGTGATGACCTTTTCAACTTGCATATGGTGTAAAAAATTAAGTCCAAGGTCTACTGTCATTTTCTATTAGATACCTACCTCAATCTCTAGTAAAAAAGCAAACTCTGATACAAGCAACTTTCAAAAAGGCCCATGCATCAAAGTATTGCATAGATTTGCTGACCAAGAAAGGCTTGAAAGGTGATCCCCCACCATCGCTGGACTTAAACCCCCATTCTGAGCTACTGGGTTTTAATAAAGTGTAAGATTTAACAAGGTAGCAAGTCATACACTTCTCAGAGAAGCATCTAGGAGGCGGGCCTAGCTGGCTTAGCTAATATAGAATGGGATCAAATCAAAAACCTGATTGGTTAAATGGACATGAGGCTCATGATGGCCATTGAGAAGAAATGTGGCAATACAGGACATTATACTTGGTAAAGTAACAAAGTAATTGCAGATTGTAGCTTATTAATATTTCTGTTGATGGTGAAGAGAGAAAGATCCATTTACTTTCTGATTGCCTTATAATTGTGTACACTGATAAGTATTTTCCTTTTATTTTTGTTTGTGACAAAATAATGTAACAGTTTCTATTAAGATAAATTTACTTTTAGCAATAAATGAATAAACATAAAAAAACACTCTGAATTCACTTTTATCGCTCTGCCTCAGTTTTGCCAAAAATTATTGTCAGGAATAGTATTGCCTATTGCCTAATAATTTTGCATATGTCAGCTATTCTGTGCAAATTTACATGTATTATTATTTAGAAATGCATCAGTAACTGTGTAAACTCAAACTGTGGGGCAGTACCAAAACTAGGCCCATCACTAAACTGCCTTTTTAGAGTCTAAAGTAAAAATTACTCTGCTCTCTCAGCAAAGCTCTGAATTAGTCATAGAGTATGTATTTTATTGGTTCGCTGTTATTGTACTCCTAATTTGGTTTGGTACAGAGCTGTAAGCTTCATGTATATTTTGGGCAGAGGGCAGTACTACTTTATTTTTTATTGGATGTAGCAGTTTCTTTACACCAAGAAACATATTCTGCCATTATAAAATGGCTAGCAGACTTCACTTTTTTCAGAACAGAGCTAACAGTTTTATATTCCACCCAGACACAATAAAAGTTAATCAGTCAGATGAAAGGAGCAAAATATGTAACAAAATAGCAAAAAAGGTTATATTACCATGTTATTTGAATAATTAATGTATTGTTTAATGCTAATGTGAAAAGTAAGGGGCATTATGATATTCTCGCAGACTATGCCACTCCAGTTTTGTTTGGGTTGGAGATCCCAACCCAAACTAGAGCTAATATATGGATATGGAGAATAGTGGTTACACAAACCGAAAAGCAAAAAAAAAAAAACATGCACTCCAACTGATAACACACGCAACAATAACACAAGAGGTCTATACTGCAGATTACCAAGGTACTGTACTCCAAAGGTACCCTAAGCTAATGATCCCAGGGCCTAGGTTCAACTAAACAGCATATAGCCTCATATTTCAACTCAAACAAAGAAAAGAAAAAAACAATACACAAAAAAAAAAAGAACCAGAAGCACATCCGGGGTGCCTCCCTTCACAAACCACACTTTTACTGTCAACAAAAATGACTGGTGGGAAAACAGTGATCATCTTTAAGATTGGGTCATATAACTGTACAGGAAAGCATATTATCACCATTTTATTCTTTGTAATTCTAGTACTTTGGTCCACAATCCATAATAGGCGTGTCATGATATATTGGTATTGATGATAACCATGATATATATAAAAAATATATATATTGATATCATGTTAATAATGAATATATGATATTGTGAATAATCTAATGCCAATAACTATCTGAGTCACACTCCAACATAGTAGGTGGTGGTACTGCTTCTTAATTCTGGTTTCCACCAGTGTTTAATTCATAAACTTTGTGCTGAAGGAGATCATAAAGCCTGGAATTCCATCCAGGGTGTACCCCTGTCTTTCTTAGGTGTTCGAACATGCATGGTGTTCCAAACTACTGACAGATACTAATGGTTCTTTCAAAAATCTTTCTCCAAAACGCTAGGGTCTGCATTTTCATTTAGCTAAATGAAAGTTCTCCTAAGATAAAATGTAGGAAAGATGCATCACTTCTAAAAACCGTGACAGGGTGAAGACTGTCCTTTCAATGTATCTCTGCTTATGATGGACCTACAATGTAGTGGGTTTTTGCTGTAGCAAGCTTTAATCACTGAAGGTAAAAAAAAACTGACATAAGTAGGGACTCAATTACCTGACACAACTCAACTTCGACTTGAGTCACAAATTTGATGACTTGTGACTCGACACCAAAAATGATGGAAAGTCTTGGACCTGACTTGGACTTAGGGGGCATGATTTGAGACTTGACTCAAACTAGCAATGTTTTGACTCAAGATTTGACTTGGACTCGCCACGGAGTGACTTGTTCCCATCCCTGTCAAACACAAGTGCAGGTGCTATCCAGAACTTTTATGAAACAGACAGAGAACACAAATAATCCAAAATCAGAAAATCTGGATGAATATGCCATTCAGGGCTGGCGGAGAAACAAGAGAGATTAATGGTGTCATTACAGAATTTCGTGAAAAAGATGAGGTGTAAGTCTGCAGGAAGTGCTGATCAACAGTAAGCACAAAAGGAGGCTTTAGCCCTGGTTGTCTTTTCACTATCTTTGTAGTATGGTTGTTCTTTTCGTATGCATTTTTACAGTTATTGTTATAGATTGTCCACCTCACTACACTCGTATTTGACCAGAAAAAGAAAAAAAAACACACAATAAACAAATTTAAATGTGACTTTGTCTGGTAAATCTTACAATTATTTTGTTCAAATTTTCTATGGATGCACTGATATATCGTTATAAACTCTTTTGGCCAAGACAATCATGTAGAGACAATCTACTATTGTAACATTGTTACTATCCAGTGTTGCATTAGTATTACATAATTAACGTTACAAAAATGTAACAAACTATTTTCTTTAGTACTTTAAAAAATCAACCACTCATGGAGATGCATACATGAAAGGGATACATATCTCTAGCAGTATCCAGACTGCCACACAACAGAAGACAAACGCAGTGTTCTACCACTCATCAATATTGTTCTGACATACCCCGCCAAAGAGAATTAAAGTTTTAAAAAGTTCTTCCAACTGACCATAACCAGGTGCCGAAAATATTCAGAACGCGATTAACCTTGCAAGACGGAACTACGTGTACTACGCTGCTGCGCCCCCAGTGGGTGTATACCCAACATTGGCTAGCCTTACTACACTGGTTATACTGGTTTTCTTTAATTTATTGACATTTTGTTATATGTTCGGTGGTAATAATTGATGCAAATAACATAAAGTTGCATTGGGTTTCCCAAAAAATGACACAGTTAAGGAGATAAGTAATGCTACGCCGACATGATGACATTACAACACATTGTTGCAGGGTAGTGACACTTCCTGTTATGTTGCTGTCGCCATGCCAGAGCTTCTAAAGGTCACATTTATTCAGGTTTTCTTGTTTTTTTTAATTAATGTGTTCTCTAAATAGAGCTTAGTTTTTATGCGTAAAATGACACCTATTCATTCAAGTTGACCGTTCACTTTGGATGCTGATTAAATCTAAACATTTTCTTTATTTTAGCCCACTTAATGTCATTTAACGGAATGTTGATCAATCTTCTAGTTTATTAGTTACCAGTTTTTCCTTCATCGGGCGCAATTCATTGAACCAATAAAATATATACTTGCCATTCGATGTCGATTTCAGTTTCGTTTACAAAGAACTACCCTTATCAGTCGTATGGAAAACCCAAAAACGAAACATGAGCGCCATTTAAAAACACCGTAAAATAGTATCCAAAATGACTATTTCTTACACTATATACTGTCCAGTTTTTAAGTTATTACAAGTACAAAAAAATGCAGTAAAGTAATAAAAAAGGTGGTTGCAATGGTTGCACCCGGAAGAACGACATGTCGACACCGCCGTGGATCGGATGTTGCTATTAAAATTCTAATATAAAGTATTTGTTGATTTTATCGCCGTATTACATTAAAACAAACATGTCATCAAATCTTTAAGCATCTAACACCCAGCTTTCAAAGTAAACTCGAATGACAAATAACTGTAAAGTAAATCCCGCTTCCGGGTCCTCGACATAAACAATAAAAACATAAATATCCGGGTGGCAAAACCAAAACTTTATTAAATACCGTTTTAAATAAAGAACATTGTTCCGATATTTTCGGTATGACGATGCAGAGATGTTGTAATTTACCTGTCTCACAAAATAACTTCGTATCTTGGTCCACTAAAATGACAGATGATATGTTTCAGCTTTTAAATATAAGAGCTCTTTCCGAGGTGGGACATTAGTATTGCATTCAGCCCTGTAGTATTCACATGCCATTCACGACAGGAGGTGCTTCTGCTTATGAAGGTCGCGCTCATAACGAGATACTAAACCTCCCACAATATAACTTAGCATTCAATATTACTTTCGGTTTTCTTTCCAAAGAAACGCATCAAGCCAGCAACAAAACGT